CGGCATGGCGGGGCCGCCCTTTATATGCGGGTGGGTGCACGGTTATGTGAATGTATGAAACTGGTCGGAATTGCGGAGAAAATAATTATTGGCGCGGGTCCTACTTGGGAAGACGCAAGAGGCGCATCGATCTCGATGAGGGGGGACTGTGGGTCCAGGAACCACATTGGGAGGGTCACAAAACTCAGAGGAGAAAAGGGGACACCGTGGTAAAGGGTAGTGAATGCAAATGGGGATCAAACCGTAAAACTTTCAAAAACCCTCCGGCGCCGTCACGTCTGACAATTAGATCGTATTGATGTCCCTGATGCGGAAGAATCAATTTTAATAGATTTGCTGACGCCCGCGCAGGTATAAGTAAGTCTCATCCTTCCCCATCCACATACCCATCGCATCGATCTCATTCACTCCGCTACACCACAATGTGCGACACCTTCTCCACCGTGAAAACCACAGTTATATTCAGCGCGCTATCATCCCTAATGTCCGGAACCACTCTCGGCTATATATGTCTGGGCCTCGCGTGCGCGTCGTTGGCGATGTATGCGGTCCATCATCAAATGCCCTCGGAAAAGTTGGCGCGACTCGAAGACGCAATCAAGGTCGTCGAGGGGGTTTTGAAACGCGCGAAGTCGGAGTGTGCGATGGGCCAAGTCGATTTGTTGGACGCCGAAAGTCATTTTCTGCAGTAAGTTGCGGCGTGTTCATGGTCGCGATACAAATAACGCGGTTTTTGTTTCCAGGGCGAACTTATTGGCTTCCGAGATCCAAACCCAGATGTTGGAGGCAGGCGGAGTGACCCTGCTCTTCAAGTCGAACGTCGTGCTCGACCGCAGCCTTTCGGCCCGTGTCGCCGCCTGCTGCGAATCCTTGAAGAAATATTTGCAAGGTGCTAGAGGAATTACGAGGAGCATCAGAAAGTGCAGGAAGGAGGTCGAAGAGACCCATACCTCGACGCTGGTGAGCATATCCGCAGTCAAGATGAACAATTTCCGAATTCTGAAAAAATATTATTTTAGCGCATCATCCAAGAGGAACGTCGACGCAAGTTATTACAGGCCATAAGAGGTGCACAAGAGGATATCGCAGTCCTTCGCTCGCCGATTGGTACGGAACTTCATTTTCATACTGTCTTTTCACTTTGACGGGGTTTTCCGCCAGGTTACGTGCACCCTACCCGCCACCGCAGTGTGGGCAATTTGCTACAGGAATCCTATATGTGAGCAGCCGACACCCAGCATGCAGTTGATTCACTCACTAACATTGCTAACAGTGTGTAGGCCCGTCGCCAGCCCCAAGTGCTTCCAACCTGTCTCTGCTTTGTTTGTTGTCGCACTGCTCTTCGCGTTGTAGTTGAATTGTTGCTCTTCAAGAATTTTGTTTGTATTGTAAAGTCTCTTTCGTACCATTTAATTCCGACTCTTCTGTATTCCATGAATCTTCATTGTACCCTAGGGATGGGTGCTGAATACTGGCAAGTGCAGCCTAAGACTCTTCTGCAGTCGTGCAGGGAATTTAGCCTTGATACCAATCAGAGCCCAGGAATGAGGGAGCATATCGGGAGGACGATGAAGGCGATGGTTGAATAGAAGACCGAGTCGACCGACCTCAAGCAGCGGAAGATCTAAAAACAATTGTAGCGGCGGACTTCCGGGAAAGATTGAATGATATAGAGGGCAGTAGCGTACCCAATGGACTCGAAGCTAAGTGTCAAGTTCCTCCCGTGTTGTGTCTAGTTGTTGCGGGACAAGTTTGGTAGACCGAGCGATGATCCGCTGGACGAAGGGAAGAAGCATAAACGGGGCGCGTTCGACCCTGAAGCGAATCAACTAAGACGACGAAGAGGGCGAAGAGACCCGGTCACCCGGGATCAAGGTAGCCATAGCATGCTCGTAGCATGTGCAAAACCGGCTCCCTAGAAGGTCTTAGAGCTTCCCGATTTACCCAGCGCCATCCTCCGTCTTCGTCCTAAAGTCTTCCATTACGACTCGGAACTCGTTTAGACGACAGCATTGTAAGGAGCCAAACTTGTTCATGAGGGAGGAGGACAGCGTGCGAATCAACTGATTGGATCAACCATCGCAACTCTCCGAGGTTTCTTGCTTCGCGACTCTCATTGCAGTTAAATTGCGCAAGGCTTCTCGTATACCAGAATCTGAAAGGCCCTGAAATCTCGCCTTGGCCCTTTACGCGCGACTGAGACCACATCGGAATTTTCCGGCGACCTCAGGCTCCCGTGGCGCCACACAAGGTACAAAACTCCATTTCATGTCGTGGGCGCAATTACATAGCTTGTGTCGACCTGGCTCGCTGAAAAGCGATGGTTGGTGAACTCCAGTGCCTGGGCTGATACGTAGCCAACCAAATCTGAACAGTAATTGATTCACGTTGGTTGCTGTTCATTTTTTGGCGCTTTTGGTTTGGTTTGGTGAACTTGCTGCTTTTCTTCTTGCCAGATGCGTTGCGAAAAAACCGTTAAGATGCAATTTTAGCTTATGTCTTGGCCTGAGCCTTTTGAGTTTCAAACAGTTTGGGAGGTACTGACGCGTACACACCAGTCTCCCTCCCCCGATGCTCCGTCGCCCAAACATCCCGACGGCCGACACTTGCCCTGTTGGCGGAGACGACGCCGACGACGACCGCACCTCAGCCCACCACCACTGTCACTCCAAATCCGAAGGACCACAACGTGAGGACCAAGAAGTGCAACGCCTGACCTTCTGCACGCCGCGGTATGTGATCGATCCGATTCAGCAAGACGCAGGCCCGGGGGGGGGGGGGGGGGGGGGGGGGGGGGGTGGACGCACTTCGACTCGGGAAGCCTTTCGATGAACAGCTTCCGGATTGATTTTGGTTTTGGTGTATAGGGTCGAATCGTGGTTAGTCTTCTCTTGTCTTCGTATCCTGCTTGATGCTCACTAGCCGCCTTCCAGATTTTGTCGCTGTCGTTCATTCCGCCTGGCGTCTTGTTCTCGATGCTGGCATACGCACCACGCCCACCGGCGCCCCGATACCGCAGTCTCAGCCCACGCCCACAAGGTACCGACGCCGACAAGGCACTCCACGTCCTCGATGCGCACCACGCCGACAAGGCATCCCTCGTCGAATCTCTCCTGCCCACAACCCTTTCTCCCTCCCGGCGCTCGTCTCCTGCTGGTGGTTAGACCCATGCGCAATACATCAAGCCGACAAGGCACCCCACGCCCACAAGGCAATTATGCCCTCAAGACAACTACGCTCACAAAGCACTCCCGTCATTGGATTCTGTTACTCAAACCGGCGCTCTTTTTTCGCTATTGATTATACCCCACGCCCGAAAGACAATTTTGCTCACAAAGCACTCGCCATTGGATTCTTCTGTGCTCGTTTCTCGCTGTTGATTATACCCGCAAGCCCAAGGCGACAAGGTACCCCACGCCCGCACGGCCTTCACGCCCACAAGGCATTCCACGCTCACACAAGGCATCGCGGTACCTCTCATCCGAAACCCCCACCTCCGCCCTAACACTCCCCCTGGCTGAGGTTTTAGTTTTCTTCGAGGGCCAGATTTCATTTGGATGGCGAGCGCGCGCGCTTCTTTTCTCTTTTTTACGGTCTTTTTGTTTTAGGTTTCTTGCGTCCGAATCCATTTGCTCGTTGATGCTTGCTGCTCCACGTCTGCCATCAATAAACTCGTAGTGATCAATAAGCACAGTGGTCGCTCGCGCATCAAGTCTCCATGACTTCGCGCAGGTGTTCAGGCAGCTAGGTTGCACCCAAAAAATTAAGGTTTTGTACAAACTACATTTTACCCGTCGCGCGGAAATCTATAGGTTACTCCCTCTGGATGAGCGCCAGTAGCCCCAATCCACCCAATAGTGCATATTTGAGTTGAGGGAAATCGTTCTGGAAGAAGCGAGCCTCATGAGTCCAAAACTCTCTTCGCACAAGAAGACGGCGTACCATTGCAATTGTCACGTAGCCGATGTAGGGCAAAAACCTGCAGTGCAATGAGAACCGAAAGAGAAGATATTCGCAGATGGCAAGCTTACCCTCGGACCTTGCCCACGATGTGCTTCCGCTCTAAGTAGTCGAGGCCCCGGTAGAGCTCAATGTCGTTAACTTCGTTGTTGTCGCCCTTGGTCAATAGCCGCTGATTGGGGGTCGCAAGCAGTCCTCTGCGACACAGTCAAAATAGGCGCAATGCGCGAGGTGGCAGAGGGACAGACCTGGATTTGGCGTCGTGCGTCTCCAGCACCCGGTGAACGATGGGGATATCCGCGCCAGGGATCTTGTAAACCGTGATATCTCCCGTGTGATATCGCTCGTGTACCGGATTTGTGAGGAATAAGAGGTCTCCGCGGTAGAAGGCAGGTTCCATCGAGCCACTGTGGAGGTGTTAGTTGGTGGGTTGGATTGACGCGACACCGCAAAGTACCTCAGAACAACAACAATAGGCGATTCAGAGTTGGTGATGAGTCCCAAGCCCTTCCAGATCATCAGGCCTGAAGCGATGACGGACGCGAAGTTGAGGGCTTGTAAGAGGACCTAGGAGCGGCGCGCATGAGCACAAGGACGGTGACAGATCGAATGCATACATGGCGGAAGCCAAGTCTGCGGAACGCTTTCAGTTCTTCGGTGAACATTGAATCGCAGATAGATACTGCAGGGGAGTGATGGCGGTGTGGGTGTAGTCCAAGGACGAGTTGCAGAACGAGGGACTGGGGTAGAACAAATAAGTTGGGGACCGGAGCTAAGGCGAAGACACGTCTAAGGATACACGTGCATGGCGGTGCACGTCTAATTTGGGAGTCAGACAACGCCCGCAGAACCTTGCATTTCGACCGGCAAGTCAACCAGACTGCATATAATCGGTTGAGGCGCGAATACAAAAGCGAAAATCATACAAGCTATCGACGAGGCAGGATTTGGTTCAAAAGGGAGGCCAAGGAGAGGCGGAATTGACGAGAAAAGATATCAGAGATATTGCTTGTATTCGTGTAATGGGGACAACAGACATCTCTTGCCTAGTATATCGGTTCAGTACACCCGCTTGTCATTAAATTGCCTAATCGACACATCTTGATTACGCGGGAGAGCAGGGTTCGACTCCCTGGGCGAGAGTATTTTCGCCTTTTTTGCCTTTTTTGCCTTTTTTACAGGCCGTACTTCCGCGAGCGTTTTAACAGTTTTTGTTCTATTTCAAAATCCCCTGGTAACTCTGTAAAAGTTGTAAACTCTTTTGTGCACCGCCATGTTGGGTGGAGGGACAATCGCTCAAGCGCGCGCGAACTTAACGCGGCTACTTGATTACACTACACGATCAAGTGAAGCGTAAACATTGGTTCCTCCGTCCATGATGTCCATGTTGCTGCATGTCATCGCGCTGAGAATCTACACTCAAAAAGTCAAAAATGAACAGCAACCAACGCGAATCAATTGCTGCTCAAATTTAGTTGGCTACGTATCAGCCCCGGCACTGGAGTTCACCAACCATCGCTTTTCAGCGAACCAGATCGACACAATCTATGTAATTGGGCCCACGACATGAAATGGAGTTTTGTACCTTGTGCGGCGCCACGGGAGTTCACCGCCGGCAAATTCCGGCGCAGGCTGTTTTGGCCTTTGCAGATCGTCCGAGACCTTGTTATATGTATTCTGCGCTTAGCCGGGCTGTAGTGGCCCGATCGGCGCTTTGCTGAACAACTAGCTCTGTCGTCAGATACTTGGAGCGGCAGGGCAATTGGGTCTTATTCAAGCGCGCATCCTGCTACTGCTCAATCTCAATAATCTCCACCTTCCGCGTGTCCTCTCCACTGGATCCTACACGTTCCCACCTTACTTTCTCCTTCCCATTTTCCATACTTATCTCTCGCATCTGTGCCTCGCGCTGAAGCTCCGACACAGCCGCCCGGACATGCACATCAAGAGATGCAGCATAGAACGTGATCTTGTGAGCGACGTGCGCACGCGCTTGGAACAGTGTGTGCAGGTCCCCGAGCGCGCGAAGGGCGGTTAGATGGGGGCTGTGACCATCGTCTAGGACGAGCGCAGGCTGCAGGAGCGATGCCGCATCGCGCAAGAGGAGCACGAAGAGCTGGGGGGTAGCTGAATCCTATAGGCTTTTCTGTGAGTAGAATACGCAGAGATAGCTAGGAAGGACGGACAGCGGGGAGGCGCGAGTGTATGTCCGTGATCGCGCTGTCAAGAGTGGGGTGTAGAGTTTTGGAGGTGCGGGAGGTTAGGAATGGCGTCAGTTGGGAGAAGAGGGCGCGTGCGGCGTCCGAGTCGGGTTGGGTGGCAGCGGAGAGCGGAGAGAGGGACAGGTGGCGCGTGACATATGCATATGCGATACTGCGCGAGCCATGTCAGTGCTGTGGACCGGAAGATGCAGGAAATTTACTATAAGGCGCAGATGTTATATATCAGGGACGGTCCCTTGCGATTTGACGACATCAAGGAAGGAGGAACCTGGATCGGATCGGGTGGGATGCCGCATCGTTTCGTGGAGGGTCCAGGGACAGTCCACCACGGGTCCTGTTTTTCGATTTCCAGCTCTTCGCTCGCGAGAAGTTGCAGAGCGAGGTCGCTGGATGGATCCTCCATCACCTTGAGGAATTTTTCACGCTCAGCAGGAGTCAAGAGGGACCATAGGTGGTCCGAAGACGTCGATTCTGTTCAATTGGTCAGTTCCAAGTGAGTCCGACGGCCTCAGCAACACACCGAGATCCACACTCTGCAAACGACGCGAAATATCCGATTCGTCGTCCTCGCCATCGCCCTCGAAGGATTCCAAATCGCCCTGGGCAGCACTGTCCTCTTCAAACCGCTTCAAGAGCTCCAGCATGCGCTGCCGCTCCTGGGCGGTCTTGGACGGTTCAGCGCGGATGTCCGACTCGACTTCTTTCTTGTAAAAGGTCTCTGAGCATTGCGAGTGAGCCTAGGTACCTCATTTGAGCGATCTCTGGAGCCGTAAGCTTACTTTGGACGCACTTCAGAGCGGAAGCAGGTGAGGGAGCAGTATGGGACGTTGCACGTCGGACAGGTGTATTTGGAGAATTGGCGACGACATCTGGTGGGTGGGTTTAGATATTCTGCGTTAAATCGCGGTAAGACACGTACAATGCGCAAGTAACGGTGTCGGGAGCAGGCAAAGCCATATGCTTCCTAATCACCGCCAAACAAGTTTCTCCATTCGTTCAGCACGCCTTTTGCTGCACAATATTCCGAATTATTCGTGCTTCGTTAGCGCAACATATATACACGAGATTCTCCCTCAGTCGTTCCCTTGATACGACTGAGGTGAGCTTTACTTTTTCTGCCCCTTTACCTTACTTTTATCCAACTTTTATCTAGCAGCTGATTGGAATACTGATTTCGATGCCATGTACGTACTGCTTCATGAGTCTCATCGTCGTTGAGCGCTGAGCGCTAGCGCTAATTATAAGCCATTGCTTTTCCGCTTCATGATTTTCATCGTCGGTAAGCGCTGTCAATGAGCCATTGCTTTCCGCTTTTCCGCTTTTCCGAGCACCATCCCCGAGCGTCCACGTCGCAGATTCAATGATCCGCCGGGAGATCCTGTAGTGACACAGTGCTGAGTGTGCGCTTCGTTTGCCCGAAACCGTAAACGTGAGTGACATTTGGAGAGCCCCGGATCACTTATACGAACGCGTGGATCGCGGCCGCGAGTCTGTATTTAGTCCCACGCGCAAAAAGTTCTTTGCAATTCTATCCCTTTCCTTTCACATTCCAATGCCGTCTACCCTCATCGTGCCTACCGGGTAAGCCTCGACCGTCTCTTCACGTCGATTGAATTGCTTATAGACACCAGCTTCTCATATGTGGCGGCTTCCCTGGTGTCGACAGTTTTCCTGCTAACGGGTCAATCTATCACTGTCGCGAGAAATCGCAAACCTGCAGGCGTAGAATACCCCCGGCGTACGCAGTCCTCTACTTTCACCAATGCGTGTGTTCATGTCTCTTCTCAGTGTATGCCGAGAAGGCGGAGATGGCAGCTTCTCCTGCTGCAGTAAAATTCAATTGCGTCCAGCGTACGTCCGACTTCATCCATCCATATTCGTGTTTGCTTATGCGCCAGCAGGTGCCCACCAGAATGTCAGTGCCTTGCACCACGCTGAACGTTTTCTGACCGAAAGTAGACCCTCGAAAACATCGCGCAGGTTTACATGATGTGAGCCATAAATGATGCTTCCTGCCCTTAACACTAAATTGGTTTCCCTCGTTCTAGGACCCTCGTTCTCGGCCTTAAGCACCCCCATGTAGCCGCCTCAGCCCTCGCGGGATGGGTGGTCAGCCGGATTGCTTACACCGTCGGATATGCGTCTGGAAATCCCCCCAAGGTCTGCATTTTTAATTCTGCGCGCAGTTCTTTCTGATTTTGTGCACTGGACAGCGCAACAATTTGATAACCCAAACCTTTTACATACCCGCTTTGCTGAGTAAGTGCATAATAGACTTTCCTGTGCGTTGGACTTACAGGAATCACAGCCCTTCTCTTCGGCTCAGTGTACAGCGCCTACGAGCTGGTTTCCGAGGGGATTTAAGCGACAACTTTGGGTATATCTACCAGTCGTTTACTTCATAGAACGCAAAATACAGCAAAGCAAATTTGCCAGCTAATGTCCGTGTCCCGGACAACGACTCCATTTGCAAACGGAGAAACTCTGAAAAAAATTCATCGCTTTCTTTTATTGCCGTTTTTTTTTTGAGCGAGTAACTCACTATTTAGTGCTGTTACAAAACGTTCAACGAACACCCGATTTCGACTTCAAACCCAATCGTAATTGCAAAGATGTGATTCGCCAGCACCAGGAGTCTGCAATGACAATATCGAAATGACAATAGCCTTAGGCCCTCAACGCAACAGTTGCAGCCACGTGTTGCGGCCTCCTCTCCTTTCCTTTTCCCAACCGTTTCCGAGAGGACTCTGAATACTTTGCAATGTCAACCATAATTGTCCCCAAAGGGTAAAATTCCCTTACGCATAAGTACTTGATGCGGCTTAACCGTTCCTCCATAGTTTTTCGTATGTGGCTGCTGCCCTATTATCGACCGTGTTCCTTCTCGGGGGACAAATCGTCAGCGTCAGCAAACACCGCAGGCTTGCAGGCATTCAATATCCTCAACGTGAATATATGTATGATTCCATGTCAATCTGGTTGACGAAAATTGTGTTCTAGTCTACGCCGACAAAGCGGAGGCAGCCGCGTCCCCCGCTGCGCTGAAATTCAACTGCGCGCAACGTACGCATTGACTTCAACCAATTGTGCCTGTGTTGGCTGATGTTTAAAACAGGTGTCCACCAGAATGTCAGTTGACTCTTTTGGGTCTCCTCGTATAACGCTAATCAAGTCCATACCTAGACTCTGGAATACCTGCCGGGACTATATGTGATGTGCTCGCTGATCATTATACACGATCCCTACATTCCGCTCAAATCAGCCTTAGGACCGTCATATTCGGTATCAAGTACCCCGCCTTGGCCGCGTCCTCGCTCGGCCTCTGGGTTCTGGGCCGCATCTCATACAGCATTGGATATGCGACTGGTGTGCCCGATAGGGTGCGAAATTTCTCATATATCGTCCTAATTTCCGTATCCTGACCTTTCGCTTTGAAGCGCAACAATATCGTCACTGTGATCTGTGCTACTCCAGGCATACTGAGTTGAGGGACATATTGCTTCAACCCGTGTCATGCGCTGACAGATTTTGTCCAGCTCTTATTGGTGGGGCGACGTACAGTGCCTACCAGCTCATTGCTGAGGGTGTCTGAATGGACGGCAACCTCTGGCAGAATATTTATCTGGTGCTACACCCAGGCCATATCTCGAGGCAGTCGCGTGTTCTATGTACACTTGTAGAATGTTTCGTGAATGTCTAAACCAAAACAAGCTCAAATCACTCGGACCAAGTTGCTATATGGATCCGCTCCCTGCATAATCCGTGCCAGAATTTACACCCAGGCAGCGGGACATGTTGTTGAAAATGATCAATACTTCGAAACACGACGGCAAAGCGCAACACTAGTACGGCCTCACGGATTGTAACCCCGTGTGTGGGATTTCGGGTGCGTCAGCATTGTATATTCGTAATGCGGAGCGT